TCATATCCTTGTCCATGTCCTATTCTTAATTCTTAAGAAATCAGTTCATTCCTGTGAAACTCTGATTTACTTTTTGGTACATTCTTCAGTTAGGCCAGTTTTATTGTTTTTTTTATGATTCAATGTCAGTTTTTTTATAGTTCTATATAATTAAATGATTATATGATTGTACATGTAATAAATTTTATTTACTTATTTGTATGATAAAAATTGATACATTTTAAATATATATAGTAAACAAACATGTTTAAAAAATAATATAATAAATAAAAAGTTCAAGTTTTATTTTTGTGTTTCATACTCTTGATTTGTTAATTCTGTTGCCTTCTCTTTACCCTTACCAACATAGAAATTTTCATTGTTGTCATTTTTAGGTTCAATCCACCTTCTTGAACATCATTGTCATTAATAACAATTTCAATAGCACCAATAAATTTATCATTATTATTTACAGTAACACGATCTTCCTCATGATGACTCCTTTTTTTATTTCTTTTTTGCTTGGAATTTTCTGAATAAGAGCTTTCTATTTGTATATATGGATTGCTGGATTTTTTTGTTTTTTCATCATTACCATCACCAACATTTTCATCACTAAGTGCAGGATAGTTAAACTCAATTTCATTTGCATGGACATGAATCTTTGATTTTTGAAAATCTAAAAATTATTTATTATTATTATTAAACATATATATATGCATTAAGATTATAGAAATTTTAAAAGGGAAAATTTACCTTGAAGAGCTGCTTGTATAAGAAATGAGTGCTTTGGAGTTATTTATTTTATTGGCAGTGACACCATTGAATGCTAAATACTTATTATTAATGGTATTTGTCTCATCAATCATAATGCTCCAATATGGAGATGAATTCAATTAGTTCCTTTTGTATGACAGAAACTATACATTCTAAAAATTCAGATCCAGATTTATTATTAGCATAACTTCCATATGTTGATTTAGATGATGATGGCTTTGCTATGGATGCAGGTTTTAAATTGAATTTTTTATCATTAGTAACTTTGTTTTTTGTCAGGAACATTAAGTTGCATATGTCAGGATATACTTTCATTGAAATATTTTTTTTTGAACAAAAATAAACAATTTGCATCAATGAAATTATTGTTAAT